TAAAAAGCAGTAAATAGCATTGTTTTGATGAGCTGGTAAGACTGGTTAGAGTTTGTTATGACTAAGCAATGAAAAAGTGAGGTTGCTTTACAAAAATGTAATTTAAAAAAACACCTCTAAAATAAAAGCAATGCAGCTTTAGCCCATGCATGAGGCAAAATTATAAAATGTTTCCTTTTTACTTAAACAGGCCGATAAGTCAACCAAAGGGCCGCATGTTGTACAATGCCGAGGTCTAGTTCAAAATATTCTTGTCAACACTAAATTACAATCCTAAACTGACTGACACACAGAAGAACAGCACTTTAGACTAAAGCAGAACTTGGCTTATACCAAAAGTTGGTATGATCTTTGAGTAAAATTGTGTTTTTAACTGAACAGTCATGCATCTCTTTTTATTGTTCATTTTATTACATTTATTAAATTACACTTTTTATAGATTATGTGTGCAGATGACTGCTATAAAGATGTGATAAAACATTGTGGCTAGTTCCTGGATATCCTACACTGAATCCATAAATGCACACTCTTGCATTTACAATTACTTACAATACAAGTGTTTTATGATGCATTGCCCCTTGACTGTTGGTGGTTTATTGTGTTTTATTAAAATGAAACTTGGCTGCTGATGTGCCCGACTACGGTATTTACGGTAAACATGCAGCAAAGTTCGGGTGATTCTTTCTAGTTTGCAGTTACACATACAAACGGGAACTATTGGTAGAGGCAAGCCACTACACTTACATTTAGAACAAACAGAATGCAGGTTGTGACTTTCATTAGCTGCCCTTAGGACTTAATAAATCAGGTCTTTGAAGATAAACTTGGATGAACCTACGGCATACACTGACCAACCTGAGTGGTCAAATGAATTTTAAAAAACAATTATCTCGATCCACTCTCATAAGCATAACAGAGTAGATTTATGGAATAGTTTAGATGACCTTATCAAAGCTTGCACTAATTTGGTCCACTTCAAAAAAACAATATAAAAACCAAATCTTACTGAAACACTTAGAAGACTAGATCCATAATCCTCACAAAAAATATGATTATTAACTAAACACATGCTTTTCTTTGACATTACCTTTTATTTTGATACGATCATAAACAATATATTTTGTGCCTTCTTTATCATTATTATCAGTTTGTATGACCATAAACAAAAACAAAACTGGCATCTTTAAAAAAATGAAGATAAGAACTTAAAATAAAAAAAAAGTTATTGTATTTTAGTTAGAGGGGTTAGTATATGGTACAGTCTGAGTGATTTAAAAAAAGTCTAGCACTGTAGAAGCCTTTATAAAAAAAAAATTTAAAAAAGTATTAAGTAGTAAGTAGTATAAAGCAGGGGTCTCCAACCTGTAGCTTGGGAGCTACCAGTCGCTCTCCACCCTCTTCCAAGTAGCGCGCCAAGGGATTTCTGAATTATACCATTGTGCTGAATGACTCAAATTTGCTTGATTAAATGTTTCCATTGTAAATGTATAATTTTGATGCCTAATTTTGTGCACTGGTTACTGGATAATGGGTTACGTTTTATAATTTCATCTAACTGTACCTCATCTACAACTTGCCATGTTCTTATATTTACTACATTTCTAGCGACCACTAAAATTAGTAGCTCTCTGGCATTTTTGTTTTGCAAAAAGTAGTTCACAGAAGGAAAAATGTTGGAGACCCTTGGTACAAAGTGTTATGTTTTCGAAAGATATAGAGCTCTGGAATGAATGAATGAATTATGCATAAAATTTAGTTTGTTTTAATTTAGATTTTGTCTCTTTTATTTATATATATTATATATATATATATATATATATATATATATATATATATATATATATATATATATATATATATATATATATATATATATATATATATATAAAGTAAGTCGTAAGTGAAATTGTAAATGCAAACTTGCTGTTCATACAATGCCTTTCTTTCTTGGGATTCCGTCATTGTTTAAAAGGGTTTGGCATTATAAGTACTTTTTACTTCAGCCTAAACCCTTTCAGTCATGATCCATGGGGTTGTCTTCTGTTTAGTTTTCTTTTGTAATGCTGCAAAATGACTGAATAAAAAAACTACTACTACTGAACCTACCTAGTTTTGGCTCAGAGATCATGATAATTATTCTACTGAAAATTCATTGATCACAGTCTGCTACTATGTTGTTCACAAACTCAAAAGGAGTCTATACCTTAAACTACTCTGTGAAGGTGATTTGTTAGTATGAGCTCTTTCACGGCAGAGACGTACAGCAGATGGTGCGTGCTGCTGGCGTAGTGATAAACTGTGCTACTGTGTCGACTCTCGCCCTCATCCCTCTTGTTCACTCTCTGCTCATTCTGTTCACTCCTTGCCCCCCCGCCCCCTTCTCGTCCCTGCGCCATGTGGTTCCCATTAGTTATAGTTTTTTTCTCAATCATCTGCATGTGTGTGTTCATCCCACATATTTCTCCTGAAACCCAATCATTTGAGCGTGGCCTCTGTGGGAGAGCAGCAGTGTCCATTTCTTCTACAAATACTTAGCTTAAACTTATGTAATGTTCCCCAGTGGGCTCCACAAAGACGTCTTTAATAATGACAACTACGTGATCTACTAACATCAATTTTGTTTGCTGAAATAAAACCGATTTGGTGTGAACAGTGGATACAATTGAAGAGTCCAGTATGGTTACAACTAACAATTATTAATATGCCGCATTTGTAGTTCTCCTTAATAACATTTCCATATCTTGAACAAAGATTTTGCCAAATACTCACTTAGATTAAGAAAGAAAATGATACATTATAGGGTAAAAATTTACATAGTTCTCAACTGAAATAACCATGGGAAGTACAAAGACTTGTTGAGCATGCCTGTCACGACAATGACTATATTGACTTACGGTTCGATGAATAAGAGGTGAACAAAAAAGATTATGCTGCTTTACAAATTTCAATGATGATCATTTATGGCAATATTTTCTGTTAGTTGTAATTGTAGCACACAGACAATCAAATACTTTTATTATAAGGATTCAAAAAGCTTTTCCCAAACATCCCTAACCACACAATGAGCACACGTGAGTCACATGCTCCTAAAATATTTGTCCAGTGAATCTGATCGCTCAACAGAAAACATGAACAGAAATGGTGCACTGGGGGAAGGGTGAACCACATACAAGTTTTAATTTCTGAATCCTCTCTCTGTCTGGCTCTGCACACATTTACACAAAACTCTGCCACAAACAGTCCATGTATTTTTCCCATTGGGCCCGAGGCTATAGGTCCATCCACACTGACCTCATCTTATACAATAGATGCTTTGTGTGATATTAAATGTGTGTCTATATGAAGGGAGTGGCCCGCGTGAGTAGTGGTTCATGATTGTTTATCTCTTTGTTTCTGTGAGCCTCTTAGTGGGTTGATGGACGATAATGAAGTCTACGCTACACTTGTGTTGTGTACATGTACAGTGAACTATATATAAACTCATGATTTAGAAGGATGTGCAAGTAAAGTGATATTATTCAGTGGAGTAGTACAGAAGTAATTTAAAACTGCATATTCAATTCAGTTCAATTAAATGGAGGGTGCAGTATTTTGGAACCTATATATTTAGACAGTTGCACACACCTGTTGGTCAGAAAGGAAACTATTGTTGTTGCTACCAGGGGAAAAAGACAATCAGTTTAACTGAAGAGTTTGAGTGATATCAAAGGAGCACTTTCCCCCCTTACTCTTGAAGTTGATGGTGATGAAATGTTATGTCAGCGTTATAGTCTTGCAGTATTTGTATTTATATACTTGTAAAACTGCCTGCAACTAGCCAGTGCCTCTGCTCAATTTCAATTTCTCTCCAGGCACTAGGTCAGGAATCGGAATACACTAGATGTTTTGAAAGAACCCCAGGAGTTGTAGACTGTGCACTAGTCAATCAGCGAAGAGCTGTGAAGCCATGACATCAAAATCAAGCGCCTGTCTGGGTCCCTTTTGTGGTGCAGCACAACAGTAAACAAAGCAGTCGAGATGGATGCAGATGAAGCCATACATTCTGTGTTGGCGACGATTCCTGAGATTGAGGATTTAAAGACAGAATAAAGAGAATGTTTGGTGAATTTTATCAAGGGAAAGACGTTATTGCCCTCTTTCCTACAGGATTTAGCGCATTACATACGTCACGACCAAATAGCAGCGATTGGTTAAATAAAAAAAGTACCCACCTACCATTGAGCGAATCCTAATGCTGCGAGGTCAGACGGAAGTGAAATTGGCTGATGAATCAGGCTAGCCTACAACTGCCTGAAAGTTGAAATGTGTTTGATCATTTTGTTAACGTTTGTTTTGTTTAATATATAAAACATCTACGAAATATTTGTCTTGCAAGTTTGCTAATGAACTTAAGACATTAAGTTTGACATGTTAACAAGGCTGAACAGGACTGTCAATTATTAACACATAATGAATGGCAATTCAGTTTTGATCAGTCCTATCAATAAGCTTGTACTTGTTTTTTCGGTTTAGGTAGGCCATTTATTTGGTTTGCCATTGTTATATATGATTGTATATTTTTTGTTTTTGATTGTTAAAGCATTTAATTTGGAGTCTACAAATGTCCAGAGACTGCCAATTTAAACTCATCTCAGTATGTATATTTAATATGTCAATTACAAGCAACTTTTTCTGTTCGCCGCTGTTGGCTCTCATGGATTTATCACATTAATAATGGCTACTACTGCGCTCATTTCATGTTTCTCTACTTGCGCGGCATTAGCTGTTGGTTCTTGGTCCCGTATGTTTTTTTTATTGTCTGTAGCACTTAATCCTTTTGATCTTTACTGGGGCGGTCTGGGTCTGGGCGGTGACAGATGTGCGTGGGCCTATGTGTGCAGCTGTGCCCAGTGCCCCTCTAATCCATATCGTCTGACGCTGCTCATTACCCTGTCTGATTTGAACCAAAGGAAAACCTGTTTTACACATGTAACCTACCGTCCGCTCTGTGCACTTCGTAGGCATGGACTTGTCAGCCAATCAGGACGAAGAAGGCGACCAGGAGGTGTTTCAAGTGGAGATCTGCCGTGAGAACAGGAAGTGCGCATTCCGGACCGCTGCGGGCAAATACTGGACCCTCACGGCCAATGGGGGCCTGCAGTGCACCGCCTCCACCAAGTAAGCATCACCTAGAAACATAAAAAATTAGAATCTCTACATTTATGATTGAACAGGATGTTACTACTTTTATGTGTAACTGGAGCTAGGAGTTTCCTGAGTGATTGAATGTTAAGAGTGGGAGGTGTGGAGTGAGTGGGCTTGTGTCATCCCTGTGGCATGTCTGACCACATTTCCATCTTGGACGTGCATGTGTGTGCGTGTGTGTATGGGATCCTTTCATTGTTCTGTTTCTGTACCTCCAGAGAGCTCACTTTTGATCTTTGACCTGGACTCATCCCTTAAGTGATTTTTGCTTTTAGCCATGGTTGAATAATTAGCTGTTGCCAAAACAAACGGTTTTCTCATATTGTTCAAAAAGCGTAGGAACATTTAACCAGATATACTTCAGTAAACATAATGAAAGCTCAGCAGATATTATGACAATTTTTACAATGTAAATTCTAAACCAAGATTTGCTTAAATACAAAAAAGTCTTTTGGTTTGTGTGTTGTGAATGTTGCATTTTTGTAGTTACTATTGACAGAAACGAAGAATTTCAAACAGCACCTTTTATGCAAATCGTGCGATACGTTAAGAAGTTAAACCAGTTTTGGAAGCATCTGTGTTTACCATTAAGTGTTTTTCAGTTAGGAGACAGTTAAGTCGGTTGTGCATTAACTTTGTGTTTTCTCAATGTTTTCCTCACTGCACTAAAGCCTTGCAACACATGATCATTTTTCTTTAAGAATAATTAACTTGATATGCAAATTGTTAGTTAGTAGTTAGTTGGTATCATACTTTACATTTGGTTAATATTTTTCAAATTTTCCTAACAAAGGATAGACAGAAAACTTGGCGATCTATAGCCCTTTATTTAAAAGTCTTATATTATGTGATTTTCTGATCTATGTTATAATGTTGTTTCCTCATCAAACAAACTTTTGAGTTTTGTTTTATTTCATTCACACATGTTTAACACACAAATCCTGCATATTTAGGCTAAAGTTCTTCTCTCAAACAAAAAAAAAAAAAAAAAAGTGGTAATATAGGAAGTGGGTTTTTAAACTTCCTACAGCTTCACTAGAATCTGGACCTGGAATTGCCAAACTCTACTGAACTAAAGGTAAATGGTAGCTCTTAATTTGTAAACTACCTCGACATGACATCACAAGGTGGGCCAGAGCATTCTGAACTTTGGAGATGTAGACAATCTAACCTCAAGGATTACTCAAACGTGTGTGAATAAAATAAACCACAGCTCCAGGTATGTTTTTGAGGAAGTAACATCATTATAACAAGCTCAGAAGAACCCATTTTGTGTAATAGAGGACCTTTAAGTAGAAAGATGAGATGGCCATTGAGCCTTTCACTGCAGGAAGTCTTTTGCATTCCTTTGTCACATTCCTGTTACTCGACTCTCCTTATCTCCTCTAGATACCACAAACTGCTCCAGAAAAAAGTGAAAGTCTTTTAATTAACCATTTGCTTACCAAGTGAAGCTTACCCCTCAGCTGTGAGTCTGCCAATCCAATTACCCAACAATCACTTAAACAGCCGGGAGTAGCCTGTAAGCAACAGGCGTGCGAAAATGAATGGGTGCTTTAAATTTACATGCTACTTGGATATTCAGTAGCCTAGGACGGTACTTGAGTGTCAAATGTAATTAGTACCTCAGCGCTCACTCACACCTTTACTTTCCCCGTCTGTGTGTAGGTCAGCTAATTGCTACTTCGACATTGAATGGCGTGGGAAGAGGCTGACTCTCCGGGCCGCCAATGGGAAATATGTTGCTGCCAAGAAGAATGGACAGCTAGCAGCCACCATTGATGCCGCAGGTATGTAGATCACAAATGCTCTTGGTGTAATTTTGAATACCTAGTGGATTGAGTTCATGTTTGGGTTAAACTACTGCTACTGCATCTACTGCTACTACTACTACATCATCTACTACATTGGACCCGTATATCTTATTTCTTGGACACTCAAAGAACTCACTTTTGTCTGTGCCCTGACACCAAATGCAGTAGATAGTTCAGATATCAAGATGATCTAATTGTAGTCCAACCGCAACTATATTTTCTCTTCTTCACAAAAACATTTATTCTTTTTCGCCTATAGACCAGTGATAGCCAGGCTGGCGCTACCTAGTGCCTCCGCTGAATTTAATTTCTCTCCAGCAACTAGGTCAGGAATCAGAATACACTTGACGGTTTGCAAGAACCCCGGAAGTTGTAGACCGCACACCAGTCAATCAGCGAAGAGCTGTGAAGCCATGACTGGGTCCCTTTTTTTGGTACAGCACAACAGTAAACAAAGCGCTCGAGATGGATGTAGAGGAAGACGAAGGAGAAAGACGTTATTGCCCTTCTTCCTACAGGATTTGGGAAAAGCTTAATATAAGAGTTAGCCCCGTTAGTGGCACATTACATATGTCACAATCAAATAGCTGCAATTGGTTAAATAAAAAAGTACCCACCTACCGTCGACAAATCGAATTCTAATGCTGCAAGGTCAGATGGTTTCCACGAAGTGTAACCAGCTGAAGAAGCAGGCTAGACCAATGATGTCATGTTTGAGATCGAAGTATAAATATTAAGATTGGAAACTGACTGAGTTCTGGTTCTTGAATGCTTTTCAATCTAAGATGAAAACATTAGAGACTGCCTTAATAATGTGCATTTGTTTTGCCAAATCTATGATCCATGTTGTTTTACTGTTGTTTGTATGAATGTGTTAAACTGCGGCCTTTTGACCAGGACTACCTTGAAAAAGAGGTTTTAATTTCAATGGGATTTTTTTTTCCTGGTTCAATAAAGGTTAAAACAAAGGTTAAATAAAGGTTAAATAAAAATATACTCTTGCCTGCTATTCCTCTGCTACTGCTTTGTGCAGACTCCACACCCAGCATAACGCAATGACAGAAATGCTGTATAAATAACTTCCAGATGTTTTTTTCAGGTCCAAGTGAAGAGTTCATCATGAAGTTGATTAACCGTCCGATCATTGTGCTGCGCGGGGAGCACGGCTTCATCGGCTGTAGGAAAGTGACAGGGACGCTGGACTCAAACCGCTCGTCCTACGACTACTTCACCCTGGAGTTTAGAGACGGAGCCTACAGCCTGCAAGGTGTCCTCTCTCTCCTCTGTAACCAAATGTTTGCCAATTAACAATGAGTTTTAAGATCTCATATATCAACTGATGTTGTTTCTTGCAAATTAATCCATCTAGCATTTTACTCCTCACTACTATTACAACTTAACTTTGGATTTCATGTTGTAATACTACGATTTTAGATTATGTAATTTTTCTGGTGGAGGGTTCATCACCTGCTTTTCTCCATAGAGATGTTACTGGTTTGCCAAAATTTTTCCACTATATGACATTAAACTATCTCCACAGAGACTAGCATATGTTAGCTGTGTTGGGAAAGTTCATTTCCTACATGAACTAGTTCAAAAGTTCAGTTTACAGATTTCAAAATGAACTAGTTCATTCATAGTTCATAGTTCATAATTGTTTATAGTTAAGTTTGTTCATAGTTCCAAAAAATGAACTGGTTCATCATTCTTTTTTTTTTTTTTTATACATTGCTGTGAGCGATTACTTTTCAATATCATAGCCAAAGCCCATATAGAACCACGGACAGCAATTATTTTATCAGTTTTAACAATTAAACTATGTGGTAGATTTTTTTCATTCACTTTTTTGTTTTGACTTGTTTCAATGATGCATGCGGCGATGTGACGCTTGTGGCTAGTGTTGTTGCCAGATTGAATGTTTTTCCACTACATATTAAGGGCTCTTTATAACATGTTTACCCGGGTTACTAGGTATTTTTAATTAATGAATACAAGCATAGACCAAACATAAATGCAAGATGGGTAATATAATGGGTTTCACAAGTAAGTTGTATAGCGCTCCTTTAAAGAGAGTATAGTATTGTGCCATCTTAAACTTCTTTGTTCACAGTTATAGAATAGTAGTTTGACTGAATATTGTCCTGTGTTCAGACTCCACAGGTAAATACTGGATGGTGGGTAACGAACAGTCGGTGGTGAGCAGCAGTGACGCGCCCGTTGACTTCCTGTTTGAGTTTTGCGACTACAACAAGCTGGCCATCCGTCACGCTGCCGACAACAAGTATCTCCGCGGCGACCACGCTGGCGTACTCAAAGCAAACGCCGACGACCTGGAATCTGCAACCTTCTGGGAATACTGAGCGAAACCACGGCAACGGCGTCACTGCTGTGGAGCGTGCACACAGCACTCCCGTCCCCCCATCTACCTACCTACCGCTTTTTATGTTGAACTGCACACTAATAAGGAAGGGTCATTTATATCGCCTTCCCTCCAGGCTCTGCTCTACAGTGTCAAACCTTTTTATTTTTTATTTTTTGTTGCCATAGTTACAGAGGGGCTGTGCACTTTCCCCTGCTCCGATCTGGTTGGCTGCTCGACCCGTCACTCCTCCCATCCTTGCCTTATGATTGGGCCTCCCAGTGTGGCTCGGTCCCTTTTACCAGAGCAGAGCAGAACCACAATAAAGCCCCTATCTTATCTCCACGTCCCCCCCCGTTCCCCTCCTCTTAATGTCTCTATTGTGAGCAGCACACGATGGCAGTATTTATGACGTCCGACCGGGAGATGCTTCTACCTGATCTAATAACCTAAACAGTCACTTCCTGTTTGTTCATTTGGTCATGTAGCAGCACCTCCATAAAGTTGGATCACTATGTATGTTTCTGGAGATGGCCATGATGCCCGTGTCCATTAAAAAACTATGATATAACTGGATTTTAAAATTATGGAAGACTTTCATCTCGAGTGTTAAAAAAAAAAAAAAAAAAAAAAATCACTATAAAATAATTTCCTGTGTTGTTCTAGCTGTGTTCTCCTTGGTTGGGAGTCTGAATGTCCTGGATCAAACAGGATGTAGGAAGTCAACCCCTCCCCTTTTTATGCCCCAATAGCTATTGTTCAAAGTTTCAGATAATTAAAAATAGTGCGGTAGGTTATGTTTATTGCACTCACCTGTCGTACTGGAAGAATAAGATACCCTTTTTGTATGTCCAAGGCACAGACATTATCATTAGTGGTGAAGAAGTCAGGTAGGTGTAGGAATGTCATAGGCCCCTGTTCAAAGCCTTTACCTTCAGCTCAACTAAACCTTAAACATCTCATTGATTTCTGGTGCTACTAAATCTCAAAATAATGCCGGTTTCTTAACATGCTGTGCACAAAAACATGTGCAAGCCTTATGTGTAATTTGTAAATTTTTCGGTTTTCATTACTGTCTGAACGTTGACAGCCTTAACAAATGCATTTTATCATCTCTGTTCCTGTCTTGAGTTAAATAAAGCTTTGCTAACATCTCATGAATTTTACTTTTGCCATTGCACACCAGGGCTGTTTTTTGTTTTCATGCATTTTAGAATGACAAAGTGGTTCTCATCTCTAATTCTCCCCATGTGGAAAGCCAACCATTGTTCCATCTCTTCATCTCAAAGGTCGTACAGTCGTGTGCCATGTTGGTTATCGTCTTCATGGCACCGACAGCGAGGCATGGTCAAAGAGATGTGGAAGGTTACGTGGTAATGACTGTGCCTTACATGCCAGATTTTCTGGGCCATAGAAGAAAAATGTAAGGAAATGGAAGATTTTGGAAAAAGAAGTCCACATCTTTGCTTTGTATAACTGGAAGTTCCTTTTTGTATTATTTTGTATAATTTTTTGATATTGTGGATGAATAATCTCTCTTGTGCCATTGGTTCACCTGAAATTCAACGACCAATAAAACCTGGAATTTGGAAAGCTGTTTGACTCCTTCATTGAATCATATTTTTTCTTACTCCACTACTTTTTATTAACAGAGTATTATCTTAATTTATATATATATTTGTTTACCTTACACTCTATGAGACAAGCCCATGCCAAAATAACATGATCAGGAGTACCTAAAGGACCACAAAGAAGCATAGTTAAAGATTAGAAAAATAAACATTTGGAACAGATAACATTGGAAAATAGACAAAAGCATAATCACTCTATGTGTTGAGATAATCCCAGAGGTAGACCAGCTCAGGTGCTTCATTACCATTATGGTGGGACATTGCATCATCCCATTTTCCATTTGGATAATCCGGATTTGGAGTCTATTTGCCAGTAGCATTATTCAGGCGAATGTATTCATGGGTCTATAGTTGTAGAGTAAATGGTTAAAGTTAAATTAAAAGGGTAAAGTTGTAAAATAACTAGGCTATCCCAAAATCCACAATTCAAGAAAAGGAAAATTTGGTTCAAATGCACCAAGGTAAAATTTTGGATAGCTTCATTAACAAAATAAAAAAAATGTCAGAATTGGTCAATTGTACATTACCTTACAACTCCTACCTGCTGCTCTTTCTTGTGTCTTGATAATTCACGTACATTCTTTACACAGTTCAGGGTGGTAATGTATTGATGAAGCCTCACAGATGCCTCTCCAGTTTCTCCAACGTGAACTCCCAGAGGACCGCCCCGTGGCAAAACAAGCATCCCAATTAATTTAGATTTTACCATTTATACTATGTGACCAGACGTCCTGTATTTACCCGGGACAGTCCCAGTTTTGAACCCTGTGTCCCCTGTCCCATCAGATTTATACAAAACCAGTGATTTGTCCCAGTTTTATACAAAAAAAAATGTCCCAGGTGTCCCTATTTTTCCCCAATTTGATCTAAACCAGGAGTAAATTAAGACTAACCCAAGACTACATCAGGTCTAAACCAGGACTACAGCAGGACTATTACAATTTTTGACTAGTGTGAACCCCGCCAACAGTAAAAAGGAGCATAAATTGTCATTTGTTTAGCCAAAATACAGAAAACCGTGTTTGCTAACGACCACACAGCGGAAAAATGTCCCTCAAATTACAACTGATACGAGAATGTACAATGTTACACACGCTTTTCACTTTTTTTTTTTAACCTACCATCGTAACTCGGGTATGACCCAGTTTAATACAAGAAATGTCCCAGATGTGCCTATTTCTGACCAAATTGGATCTAAACCAGTTCTATATCTGGACTAAACAAGACTAAGCCGGGCCAGCATCAGTAGGTAAGACGCATAAATAGTAATTAGTAATTTGTTTAAATCTGATCACCCTTTACTAGTAACTACTTCCTATTTTAGATTTAAAAATAAACTCAAAAAAAAAAAAAAAAAAAAAAAAAATAATAATAATAATAATTTAAAATAAAATAATTTAAACATTCAAAATGGCCACCGATTGAACCCAGCATTCTCACGTACGTGCCACGCGCCAGTCACGCAGATTTTGGCGACGTGTTACCATGGAAACTGCATCTGGAACAGTTGTCAATGAATTATGGCTGACGGAGTGAAAGCCCAGAAGCTTCATTACGCCTAAATTGCCAGTCCTCGCAGGGGTGGGGGGCTAAGGGCGGGTTAGGATGAGATACCCGGGGGAGACACAGACGGAAGGTGGAGACATGTTTGCTGCTTTTGATCAAGACCGAGTCGCTGATTGGAGAAACAGTCCTGGTTTCCCCTCCCTGTGGCACCCGTTTTAAAAGCATGTCCACTCTGATCGAAAATACTTCCCTCTGAGTGCTCCAGTGGCCATGTCCCCCGGCTCCTGTAGAGTCCCAGGCCTAGTCTGTGTGGGTCAGAGGGTCAGCGGGTGGGTAATCTCTTTAGAGACCAGGATGAGTAACGTGGGTCTGTGCAAGATGAATAGCGGTGATTCACTGTGGATAATGGGGGCAGAGAAGGCAACATAGAGACCTGTGAAACTCTAATGGCCAAATCAGGGTAAACTGATAAAGAATTCAAGTAGGACACAACATAATGGATTTTCATGCAAAGGCCCACTTTAGAGATACATAGTCAGCATCAGTGTGTGAGAAGCAAGGCACTGTTCAGGTCAGATTGCAACCCAAAGCCCACAGATAGGCAAGGAAAGCAGAAAATGAATACACATAAAATGAATACACATAATCTAGCCACAGATTGTAGAAATCAGGAAGGAGCCCTTATGCCTGGAACATATGATTGGCATACATATTTTGGGCCTGGATCCATTTGTTGTGAGGCAATTGACAGGCACATTAATGTTCAAACTACAATTATAGCCTATATTTGAACCTTGAAAGTCTTGGTGCATAAGCCTGCAGAACATATTGAGCACAGTGAAAATCTCAGCTGTAAAAACAATGTTCATGCAGTCTTAACACACACAGACAGGAGCAGCGTTCTGTGAGCAATAAAATTGTCTGGGGGACAGAATGTTGCCAGACACTGGTGTTCCCTGAGGACTGAGCTTAGAGCATTTTACACAGCACACACACAAACATGCACTGCAGCGTGAGCTACTGCTCCTGTCTAGTGTGAAGGTCATCTCGTTCACTGCCTGTGTGTTAGAACAGAAATGAATTCTCACTTTTTATTTAATGCAAAATGACAGGAAGCTGCTGTTGAGGTGCACAGACAGATATGGAGGTCAAGTCTGGTGGAATTCAAATATAAGGCCTCAACAGCTATACAGGCAGACGACTAGCTGAAAGAACACATTGTAAATCCTGCTACCACGGTAAATAAGAAAATTCAATGCAAAAAGGTTGTGCAGATAAAACAGAAAGCGATTACGTTGTGAGTCATCTCTATGACTTGTGGTTTTGACTATTGTTGCTACATAAGCCAGTCTTTGTCCCAGACTTAAATGAGTAATTAACACATAAGTCGATAATACCTCCAAATGTAATCCCACACATTTGTCTGAAAGGCCTAGAGGCATCTTTAAACACTTCCTTCATAGGAGTCTTTCACTACGAAGGGTTTTCTAGTGTTATTTGCTCCTAACACAGTAGTAGGGGCAGGGCACAACAGTCTATGGGTCACAACAGCTTCAGTCAAGACCACACTCATAGTTTGGTCATCCATTGTTAAAAGCAACACTTGACAGATTATAGCAGCATCCCAGGGGCAGTGGCAGGGGTACTTTTGATGTCATGAGGGTCCCATCAGGCTGACCTCATGCATCATGTAAATTAGATTTGGTGAAGTTCACACTAATGCATTTAACGAAGTCCATGCAAAGACGCAACATAGAAATACAAAGTGTATTCTAAACTTCTTTGAGGGTTGTGGACTGAAGAAAATGTGTTATGATTTAAGTTTTTTGGCTAGCTAAATTATACAAAAAGGTGTAATGAACAAGACAGACTGTTTTGCCTCATAAATCACCTTAGAAATACAGAATAATCAATATACACAAAAAAAAAAAAAAAAAAATCTGAGTTACACCTTTGTAAATTCCTCTACTATGGCGATCAATTCAGTTACTCTATACTTCATACAATTTCATTTATCCAACCACCAATAAAAGAGCGGTTTATGGCGATGACCTTCAGCCACTTTGGGATGCCCTTGTGTATTCAGATTGTGAAAACTCAGCATTATTAATTCATGGCCAGTGTAATAAGATACTGAATGTGATTAAAATCCAATTCAGTCTCTCATACAAACAGCATCTGTCCCTCGCTGCCCATGACTAAAACCTTTAGGACCCCTGGGCAAAAGCGGGGGCTCGTCCTTCCACTTTTACAGCAACAAGATGCCGTGTGTGTGCATGTGGCCAAATGATTTGTCACACTCACAGCACACTTTGGGTGAACAAAAGAATCCCCCTCCCCCCCTCTCTCGGGTAACATCATAAGCATGACAGTCGCTAAGCTGTGATTGGTTGAAAACAGGAGTCGACAGTCATGTGATTGGAGCATAGCCTCAGGGTTTAGTTATCATGAGTCAGCCCCTTTTTGCCAAATGTGCAAGGGAGGGGCACAAAATATCAAATGGTGAAGAAAATGTGATAATGGTGAAAAGATATTTGCACATTTTTTGAACAGAACTTTTATTGAAAAATGTGTGCCTTTAAAGATCACACTAAATATAGACAAGGGAATGCTTTTAATTTTTTTTTACTCAAAAATAGCAGTATAAAGAGGAAATAACTGATCTTAAACTGACTGAACTGAAGCAAAAGTAAACTAGATCCACATCAGAAGTAGAAATTGTGAGCCTATAACCCTAAAGTTGGGGCACTGTGTGAATGAGACAGAATGCAATGATCTGCATTTTATTCGTATTATAGCAATTGTCTAGGCTCAGTAACAAATGAAAACAATTCTCTTGATAGAAAATAAAACAGGCCATTCAACCCAGTGGTAATTCTGGTTCAAATTCACATTTTTTCCCTTTTTTGGAGGGGACCAAAAGACAACATAATTTATTGCATTAAATACACTCCTGACTAGTCAATAAACATTTGTCATCATTTTTGTTGTGTGTTCTTTTGTTGTGGCACTCAACCTGAATAAATGTGCCATTTTAATGTAACCTCAATGCCATAGTAGGAATAATATATTATTGTATGATATCTGCAGTCCACTGCATTCTGTTTTAACTATAGACTTTACAGCGTGACCCATGTATTTTTAATTAATATTTTTTTATTTTTATTTAGAAAGATAAACTTGCAAAAGGCTACTGTGTTAAAAGCGTCTGTAGTAGCGGTGGTGAGGTCCATAGTGCATTGGCATCATTTCCCAGTTGTTATGGTGATGTGGGTAGTGGTGATGTGGATTAGGGTTTTGATGGTGCCGCTGCTGCTGGTTGTTATTGTTCAAAGGGGGCAGTAGGGGGGGCACATAGGGCGCAGGGGGAACCGGAGCTAAGGGTGCAAGGGGGGCATGGGCGTAGCGGCCGCGGGGAGGCACGAACAGAGGAGCCTGCATCGCCTGTGGCTGATTAGG